GAGTAAAGGACTTCGGAGGTCCCGATCGGAAATGAAGTTGTGAGAGAAGTATCGATGGACTACCCGAGCTGATCGACAGATGCCTTTCGGGATGCCGTTCCAGAAAGCTGGGGATGATTGGGTGAGGGAAGCGGTGGTTGGGGAGGCGGGCCCACTGGGAAAGTCGAAATTGGCAATACTTGGCAGGCTCGTCCGCATCGGTGGGACTGCATAGGGGCTAAACCGAGGATCACTGGGACTTCGCGATCGAGATTGAGAGAGGGCTGAGGATTCATCCGAGCCTCTTTTCTCGTTGGGTGGGGGCTTGGGCCACTTAGGGAGAGCATTGCCATTCGCATTCGGTTGTTCGTCGGCACATAAACCAGCCATGTTGGCAATCAGTTGATGGTCTAGCGATGAGGCGGTTGAAGCAGGTGTCGATGCCCTGTATAAACTGGCCAGATTGGGCGATGAAGCGACTGATAATCTGGAATAACCAGATCCATGAGAGGGACTTCGGACGAGATTGATGTGCTGAGATCGAGGACCAGGATCGCTGTCCATCGTATTAGATGAATTAAACGAGTACCGTCGTTCTTCTGTTTGATATTCCGGGCGTGTTTGGCGATCGTCACCATAATAGACTGAGCGATCGGATTGAGTATGAAAAGAGGGTGCACCGACACTGGCCGGGCTAGGGAGTGGGGGCTGACCGTTTCGAGTACGAGAACAGTCTTCAACTATCTGGGGCATGGGTGGGTTGAGGGTCGCGCGACCTTTTCCCTTATCGACGGCTTTCCGAGGCGCACCAACTGGAGCAGCAAACTCTGGATTGACATGGATCAGAATATCTGAACCTTGGGCAAGTCTCTGCTTCTGTAGCACGGCCCGAGAACGTTCTTGAGCCGAGCGACGTGCAGCTTCTCGCTTGGCCTGAGCCTCCAACTTGGCCTCCTCCTTGGCAGCCTTCTCGGCTTCTTTCTTGGCTTTCTTGGGATCAAGTGACAGGGTAGCTGAAGGAGTAGTTGTGCAAGCATCGGAGCAAACGCGTTCGGATGGTGCTCGTTTGAGGGACTGGGATCCAGAGAAAACTGAGGCCAAGGTCCAAGCGTCGCACTTTGAGCTGATTGCTAGTAGTTGCGCCCCTTACTGCTAGAGACGCGGTTGGGAT